GGCGTGCGGGTGGCGCGTCGGGGTCGGGGATTTTGATTGTGCGGGAAGGGAGGGCGTTGATTGGCGTGGTGGCGCCGTCGTCGTCGGAGCGGAGCGGAGCAGAGCAGGAGCACGAGGCGTGACGACGGTGAGACGGGTTATACTAGGACGGAAGTTGGTTCACCGGCGCGCGGTCGCTGGCACCTCAGCCTGGCGCGGCCGTGGCGGGGCCCGCGGGCCGGTGGTTCCTTCCAGCAGAAATTCCCGGTTTTGCACGGGCTGCCAGCTCCTTTAGATTAAAAAATGGGTTTTACTCCCCCTAAAGAAATATCTAAACGCTCTTATATTTCCTTTTAGGGAGTACAAAAACTTTGGAGGATATACATGATTACTTATGGATGTTTCCCCAAATTCCTTACAATGTATTGCAGGAAATTGTCCTTCAAAAAAACTTTCAATATATCCATCTACTGTCAGGATAGTATAAAGAACACCAAAAACAACAGTATTTACATCCAGGTTCGTAGACCACCTACGAGCATACGACCACTCGAGGGAACCAAAGGCACGCGGACATTATTGTCCCTCCCTAATTGGAGCCGGACAAAACTTGTTATGGTAAACAGTCAAAATGTTATCGTGCTCCAATACCTCCTGCATCTCTAAAAAAAACTACCTTTTACGGAAAGTTGGGGCAAAAAAAAGGCATCCAGCAGCTCCAGTAAACCTAGAAATATTTCACAAGATCCCGTAAAAACACCTCCTCCATCCTCCAATTTTATGGGAAGATGGCCTTCCCATTTAACTTTGGCGGGCGGATAAGCGCCTGAAACTTCACGAGCAGAACGCCAGACCACCCCACGCCATTGTCAGAACACCGTCGGAAGGTCGTCGCCATCGCCGCTAGGCTGCCGCCGTGAGGTCACCACCGCCACCACCGTCGCTGCCACCGCCATGAGGCCATAACCACAGTCGTGAGGCCACCACCGTTACCGATGCCACATCTCTGCATGTCCTGCCCGCAAGGCCGGACGCCACCACCACGCGTCGCCGATTTCGTGCGCCTCCGTCGCCGCTGCTGCCGCTCGCCGTCATGCCTCTAAGACTGACTTGTAGTTCCTAGGCTTTTAGCTAGACTTTTTAAATTAAAAATAGAAAAATAAAGATTTTATGGGGTGATGTTTAAAGGAACCGAGAAAAATGACAATTAGAAAAACTTCCCTTAAATTTTATGGTCATTCCGCAAAAGTGGTTTTATGGGAAGTTTTTAGGGGAGCTCTTGGAGTTGCTCTAAGACCCCAGAACATCGGCGAACCAGAATAACAACCGCCGCGGATGAAGATAGTCGTAGATCGGACGGATCCAACCTATAGACGAACGAATATCGGGTCCAAACGGATACACCGAATACAAACATCGACCAAATCTCGTGATATCCGCCAGAGACACAACTTCACTCGCCCTCCGACAACGCTAGAAGCATTGTCGGGACACGGGCTGGGTGGGGAGCACTTTATTTCACTTACATGGAATCGTCGTCGTCTCGCCTTCCTGGATAGCACACAACCCTAACCAAACTTAAAAAAAAATCTAGAAAACGAAGCCCTCCAATCGACAAGGGATCGGGATCCACTGCGTCTTCATGGTCCTAAAGGCCAAAGGAGACAAGGCAGATCAGCGCGGTGCTGGAGGCAAGGAGTCCTATCGGTTGTTTGCTTGTCCTCATGTTAGGCACCTAACCTGTTTAGCAAGTTGGAGGATATTCTCCATCCAATAGAACCTCTTGTTATAATTCCTTTATTTTTCATACAGTATAAAACACCCGTTCATGTATTTTTCTTGTACTTTTGTAATCATTTATGACTAAAAGGGGTATGCCACTCTAATCCTACGATTTTTTCTTCCATTTCTATGTCTTACAAAACTTGTGCATTAAGAGTCCATTAAAATCCTGCTTAAGTTCAAACATCTCTAAACTTGAAATGTTGATTTTAGTTGTAGTGCTTTTGAGAGGGATTCTATATTTGTGTGGCAATGTTTCCCCAACCAAAAACAAGGGCTGCAGGCTACGAAGCCAGTTGTTCTCCTTTTTATCCCCATTTTATCGCCACAAAGCCTACAATATATGGTCCACTCAATTTTCCATCAATTGATTACACAGTAAGGAGAACACTTTTACCCGCTCCAACTCCAACCCCGCTCCCCCGCTCCCTAGGGTTCCCCGCCGCCGCCGCCGGCTCCCCCGCGCGGAGCCACCGCCGCGGCGGCCGGAGCCCGCCGC